TGTAAATGGATTGGATTGAATAGGACAGAAACAGATGCCCCTTTTGTATCTATTTTTACTTGAAATATAACTTCTTGGTCGCTCTTTCCTGTGCAGTGTCGTTACGGCAATGGCGGTCGTGCCTGCCTCTGGTGGACGTGTCCACCTGGGGAAGCAGCAATGAAAATCTTAGCTGCTGAAAGATTTTCCGAGTTTATTTTGCTTTAAATTTAATTGCTCTGAAAAAATAGGACTTTGCGCCAGCAAAATTTTGCCAGCCCAACGCAGCTCATTGGAAAAAGGCGAGCATCGGGAAGGCGGTGGACCAGGACGAGGCAGCGACCAGTTACGACTGGCAAGCAGCTGCTGTCCAGCGAGACACCAGCAGCAATATGGAATGGCGGGGCAGAGATGCTCGAGTAAAGGGGGCTGTCGATGTTATGTGAGAGAGGGGTTCCAGGGGGCCTGCGTCGTGTTGGCTAGTGGGATCGGTGAAGCCCTGCGGGACAGGCAGGGCAAGCGTGGAGAAACGTAGATTAGGTGTGGTTCAGTGGTGTGTGGCGTTGTGGCGGTGCGTGATTAATATTTATGGGAATTCTGGCACCAAGAGATGGAAACCCACGGCAACGTATTGTTTGGAAGCAACCAGGGTCTACGGGTCTTGTTTCTGAAATGCAGAGCTAACATGTTGATTGCCAATCTGTCTCGAACTGATTGAAAGGGAACAGGAAAGGCGACACCTTTCGTGTTCTCCGAGTGAGACTGTGGAGATTTGTGTCGTGCAATATGTGTCACGTGCAGGCCAAGTTGATGTACAACATCTGTGCTGGCTGTTCTCCGTGCGCAACACGTTTTCTTCCCACGTTTCTACGTTACGTTTCACTCCCTGTGCGCTTCCTCCGTCAGTGTTCTGATCCATGCGGAGTCAATTACCTGTCGCACCCTTCTCACCGTCGGCGGCAGTGCACCACGCGGAAGCTGCTCGCAGATCGATTCCCGCCTTTTTGGCTATGGCAGGGCTTTGCAGAGTTCCCGTGAAACTTGACAAAACACGAACTCTGTAGAACGTTTTGTCAATGTTATTTTGCTACTGTAGTGCGATGGAAATAATAAGAGATAAGAAGAATGAGCTAGAAGAAGAGAAATATAAAAAGAAAAGGGAAATCGGCATACTTGAATGTATAATATTATTTTTATTTTATTTTATTTTACTTTTTTTTTTTTTTTTTTGGTAAAAAAATCCTTTCTTTGCATTTTCAATACGGGAAAGCCTCCAAACTCAACGACGGGTGCGCCCCCACGGGCCAGAACGTGTTCCAAGCATTATTTCCGTTCCCGACATGCTAAATGCCACGTGCTGCGGGAACACGGGGCAATACCCGGGCCTGAGATGTACGTTCCGGTCCCGAGAAAGCGGTTGCGTTTGCCTGCGTCGTCATGGATTACGAAACTTGGCTAAAAGGGTGAGGGCATCCGTCAACGGCAAGGCTGACATGCGCTGCTTGTTATGATGCATGCACCATGCTTTGATACGGCATGTGTTTGCGTCTTTATCCGATGCCTAAGCATGATGCATAAGACACAGCCAACGTGCTTCAACCTGGCATTCAGACGGCGCGCACAAAAAGACGTGGTCGCGAACACAGTAACACAGCCCATGTATTTTCACTTGAATGCTTCCTAAGATTACGCCGTTCATGGACCTGTCTAGGTCTCACTCATGCGCCTGCCGTCAGCCCGTCGCTCTCATGCCCTTGAGCGGCGCGTCGACCCCCACGCATACGTCGTACATTCTCGTCCTCACGACGTAAAGAACTGCTCCGTCACCCGGCTCTCGGGCAGCGGGAGCGGCACCGAGCCGTACAGCAGAATCAGCGCCGAATGCGACTCGCCGCCACCGGCCAACTGGTCGATGCGCTCGCTGCCCACCTCGGTCACGTTGTCGTCGTTGAACCACCACCAGTTGCCGTCCTCCTCGGACTTGTGGCCCGTCTTGGGGTTCACAATCGAGCCCTTCTTGACAAAGGCCGTGTAGTGGCCGCTGTCGGCACCCGCGCCCTGGTGGGTCACGACCGCGCGCAGCTCGTACAAGCCGGTGTGGTTGGCGTAGCGGTCCTCCTTGAGCCGCGGGCGCACCAGCTGGTACAGCTCCTCCTTGGCTTTCTCCAGCGACGCCCGCTTCTCCTCGTCGATTTGGGCGTCCGTCTTGTACTCGACATCCTCGGCCTCGTCCTCGGCACCCTCCTTCTTGTCATCCTTCTTGTCACTTTTCTTGTCCTTGTCCTTGTCGTCGCTGCTGCTGCTGCTGCTGGCGCCTGGCGCCGCGCCAAACCGGGCCGCGGCCGCCTCTGCCTTCTTTTCCATCGACAGGCGGCGCTTCCGCTTCTTGTTGGTGCGGTCAATCTCCTCCACCTCCTTCCGGACGTCGCGCACCTTCTCGCGCACGGGCACCAGTTTGGCGCGCAGCGCGTCGGTGCACATCTCGGAGACGTCGAGCTCGTGCGGGAACGTGACCTTGCGCATGATCTTGGCCTTCTTCTGGATGTCGCGCTTCCAGTAGAAGCGCACAAAGTGCACGGTCAGGTACTTGGGCAGCCGCGCAATCTTCATCGTCGACGTGTACGTCGCGTCGCGGCCGAGCAGCTCCGAGTGCTTCTCAATCTTCTCCGTCAGGCCCGCGAGCAGGCCGTCGCGCAGGTGGTTGATGGAGATACTAATGTGGCAGGGCAGCGTCAGGAACGTCTCGGTCGTCGGCGCCGACTCGGCCTCCGTGCGGCCGGCGGGGTCGTCGCAGACAAGCGTCTTCTCCACTTCGCCCGCCAGGTACCGCTTGACCGTGCTCACAGAGCTGCTGGCACTGGCGCCGGTGCTCTGGCCATCCTCCGGCACCGACTCCACAGTCGTCGCCAAGCTCGTCGCGGCCGCGGCCTCGCCCTCCTTTGCTGGCGGAAGCGCCTTGGCCTCGTCCTTGACAAACAGCGTCCGCCGCAGGTTGTCCATGATAAACGTCCAGGCCTCCTCGGCATCCTGCTGCGCATAGCCTTGGCCGGTCCGCGAGCGCTCGGCGAAGCGGGGGTTCAGCGTGCGCAGCGTGTTGAGGAAGAACTGCGGCACGTAGGAGGCGTGCGAGGCGGACATGCGGGAGTACACTTCGCGCAGCTGGCGGGCCAGCGTCGGGGAGGTGTTGGTGGCATCGCCCTGGAAGCGGTTGACCAGCGAGTCCTGCAGCTCGGGGATCGAGCGCATCGCCTGCAGGGAGGCGTTGAGGTAGCAGGTGTTGCCGAGGTTGGTCAGGCCGCCGGGCGTGTTGTCGTGGAGGGCCGCGTCGTTGCCGTCAATGTCCTCCACGAAGCGGGGCTTCTCCTTGGGCGCCTCGAAGCGCACAGGCGCGGCGCCCGGCTGGCCCAGGACCATGATGGCCTGCGCCGGCTTGAGGCCGAGTGACGACATCTCCGTGTCGTCCTTGACCTGCTTGCCCTTGATCAGGATCTTCTGGTTCTCGGGCTGGACACCCGTCAGGCTGAACACTTGGTATTTGAAGAGGGCGCCGGGTTCGGAGACGTCCACGTCGACTTCGTACTTCTTGCCTTGGTGCCGAATGACGACTACAAACGATTGGGTTAGCATGCGAGAAGCGAACAGACAAAGAGGGACAGCAGACAAGCCGTGCATACCGGGAACGGTGGTTTTGGCGGCGTCGGCCGCCGAGTCAACATCCATGCTGGCCATCGTGTGTGTTGTGGAGAGGTGTGGTTGCTTGTGTTGTGGGAGGACGGTGCAGGGAAGGTTGAAGTCGACCGCAAACTCGGACGGTGTCTGGTGAGAGGCACAGGTCGAAGGCAGGTCTACACCGCGAGACAGAAGAGTGTGTTGGGAAAGTCGAGCTGTGCGTACGGCAGGGCTCAACAATTGTGAGCTGGCGAATAACAGGCAGTCAAGTGCGGAATGTTCTGGGAAACGCCACGAAGGGCAAAACAGTCAGTTTTCCGTCAGTATGCAACAGGCCGTGGGGCCAATCACAGAGAGTACTTACCGAGGGGCCAACTGGGCAATTGTTAGGGGTCGTCGTGAGAAAGGCTCAAGGTTACGCAAGTCCACAAGCAAACGACAAAAGGCAAACGGCGTTGTGGTCGCAATACATCGACTCGATCGAATGCCGTGGAATGCGCTGTGCGGTGAGAGCTTTCCAATCCAAGCGAGCCAGAGGCAGCCACGGTGATGGCGCAAGTAAAAACGCGAACAGGGCTGGGCCTATTATCTGAGACCCACACTAGGTCCTGCGGGGAGGCACGCCTGCTGAGGGGCTCACATCCACCGATATTGGCACCGTCGCCACCACCTTGTCAGGCATACGAAATACTTATCGCCAAGCTACGGCGTTCCACTGAAAGTCAACAAAAAGAACAGGTGATGCATGAGAGCCGCGTTTGGATGTGAGAAGAAAATCACAATGCATTGAGTATGCACTGAGACCAAGTACACATCATGCTCGTGACCATGAAGAAGCCGTTACGAGACTTGGAGGAACTCAGACAGGGAGTACTTGATTTTACTAGAACTGTGCACTAAATCATAAGTATCAAAGGTGTAGGTAACCCGTGGCAATGCTTTCCACAGCAGCACTCTATACATAATATCAACACAGTGGCCGGCAACGATCCAAGTCAACAACAATACCAATAGAATCATGAACACGGGGGGCATTGTCTTGAGTTTAATGGGTGCTTTGTGGATCTCATCGTTCTCCCTGGTTTCTTTTTTGTTGACATTACAGAGTGGCAATAATTGCTTTAAAACTACCATCATTTCAGAGTACAACACAAAATAGAATAACATCACAAGCATTACAATAGTAAATCAATAGCAAACATCCCATGCCCTTTTCCTGGCATCCTTGTCCCCGCATCCGTACGCTCGTTGATATCTACCTGAACCGTGGTTTCCCAAGCGCCTCTACAAATTACCGCCCGATACAGTTTGTTACAAAAAATACAGCCAGGCTTCACGTGAAGCCTGTGAAATCAAGAAGCCTTCGCCCAAGGCATCAGCCCATTGTCTCTCGCGTCCGCCAACTCCTTCTCGACGTCGGTGAGCTTGTCCAGAAGCTCAATTCTCTCCGTCCAGAGTTTTACAAGGCGCCGTCTGTCTATTTCCAAAAAGGAACTCCTGTACGCATACGAGTTGGTGGTCTCCGCCTGCTCATCCTCGTCTTCTTCCATCATCTCAGCACTGCTGCGTGTCTTTGCGGCTAGAATCTCCACGTTGCGCAGGTACGTGTCCCTCGCTTTTTTGAAGAGTCGCCCCACCCGCTCGTCCGTGGCGGTTGCAGATGGCGCCGCTCCTTGTTGACTTGGCGATGGCAGGGGCGGTGGTGGCATCTCCATGGATGTTGCCGTGGCGGGAGCACTTGCTGGCCGTGGCGAAATGTGTGCAGAAGATGCCGTCTGATTATTGCTCTGGCCGTGCGTGCTGTTTGATTTTCGCTCGAAGATGGGAACCCGTTCTTTCAGGAGGTGACCCAGCTTTGCCATCTCCCTGTCAACAACACCCAATCGGTCGAACAAGCTGTCGTATTTCTCAAAGATCACAGTCGTAAAATCAAAAGCCTCGATATCTTGAATGGGCATGCCGCTTGCGTCCACTTCCCAAACGTCTGGCAAAGGAAAGTGCGTCGCGGTGCACGTTTTCAGACAACAACGCGTGGTCAATATCGTGGATCCCTGCTGTGATTGTTGTGCATTTGTATGCACTGGGCCCGGAGGCGGTACTGGTGTATTCGCTGGTGCGAAAGCTTGTGTAGACAACTGTGAAGACGCTCGCATATGAGCACCTGTCGTTGTTGGCGGCATCTGCGCAGAAGCTTGCGGAGGTACTGCAGCCGGTGCTTCCATACGGATATGCGTCGGTGCTGGTGCCTGCGTGAACATTGGACAGGAATACTGCGTGTCAAACGTTTGCTGTGGAGCACAGGCCGTCGGCGTGGGTACATTCGAAAGGACTGGCTGAGACATTGCGGTAGGCAGCGGCGAGGCGATTGGCGTAGGATTTTGGATCTGCATATGCACTATGTGCTCTTGGAGTTCTTTTTGCATGCCTCGTCTGAGTTGCTCGGAGTCGTCTGCATCGTCCGAGCTGATATCACTCGAGGTGCTGTCGTGGTGCTGCGGTCTTTGGGCCTGCGCTTGTTGTTGGCCTGACAGGGGGGCCGGTAGTTTATGGTGCGTGTTCTGCTTTTCTTGTCGCCGGAGCTGTACTTCCAAGAGCCGAATATGAAGCCTAAGTTGCCGACATTTGGGCTTTTGACATTTTTTCTTCCGTTTCTGGTAATTGGACGGGATCGTCTAGGCCTGGTTGGCCTGGAAGGTCTGTTTGGAGCGGTGGACAAGAGGAGCGCATGTCTTGAGAAGGGAGGTCGGGATTGAAGGGAAGAGGAGCACATTCCTGCGAATAGGGTTGCGGATAGACCTGGTGTTGGTTTTGGGGCAAATACTGCGTGATATGTGAAGGCAGTGGATTCTGGGGCAACGGGGCCTGCAAATACATTTGTTGAGGCTGAATGTGCTCGGGGTATATTGTCTGAGGTGGCAGGTGGTCGTAATACTGTTGCTGTGCAAACTGTGTCGGCGGAAGGTGGTAACTCGGCTGATATTCGGCCTGCTCCTGTGAGAGCTGATATGACGGGCTTGACTGGGAGCTCATTTGAGGGCTCAAGAGATACGTATCCCCGACCGAAAGTGGCAGGGGGCCTGTTCCGTTTTCCATCGTGTTGCCCTTGAGTTGCGAGGGACGCTGGATGTTGGTAAGACTGTAAGAGCGTCGTATCAGCTTTTGCTCATGCCATAAAAATGTGACATATCATGACGGTGAATGCAGCATACTCAATGGGCGATGTGATGTGTGCGCCCGGCTGGGAACGATGAGGAGACTTGGACTTCATACCCACTCAGAAACCTTTTGGCTACGAGTCCAAGAGATATGGGGCGTGCAGAGGCGGACGAAGGATATAAAGAGATGGATGAAGATGTAGACGGCAACGATAGGTCCGACAATGAGTTTCGTGAGTATGGAAACGGTTGCCGTAATGCAAAGGTACACAAACACAAACCTGGGGTTGATCAGGGGGGAAGCGAAGTGGCCCATTGGAGAGATGGGACAGATACAGTTATATGGGTTGATCAGATCTAGGCGGACAAGGCCTAGCAGTTCGCAGTGCAGAGCGTCGGAAACAAGAAGCGGGACGAAGCGACTGGCGCGTAGATCGCGGTGGGAACTAAAGTTAGTTCGCGAATGTTGAAAGTGACAAGATCTGACCGAAAGTATTCTGTAGGGCACAAGGTTGGGGAAGATGGGTGATGGAGAACGGAGAATGGAAATGGAAGAAAGGTGGATAAGCGGAAGTCAGGAATGGAACAGCCAGGGAGGCGAGGAGCGAGACTCCTATTATACGGGTCGAACGAGTGAGGTAAGGGAGAAACAACGTGCTTGACGTAGACGAGGAGGCAGAGGACGGTAAGGGAGGCAAGAAAATATGAAATGAGGCAAGAAAAGACGAAGGCGAGAGTGAGAGGGAGAGTTTGCTTTGTCCAAAGGAGATGCAAAGAGAAGGTGTGTGCACATACAAAGCAAGGAAGCAAGGCACGAGGAATGCACAACTACGGAATGTACAACTACGGAGTACGACATACGAGATGTTGAGGCAAGAGCGATGTACGTTGGTAGCCATAACCGTAGAGGAAAGTACAAAGACGTTAACGGAGCAGCAATATGTACAGAATAATACAACAGACAAGCAGCCAGGGGCTGGACGAGGAGCTGGTCCAGGAGGCGGCGAAAATACACAAAAGATGCAGAAAAATGCGTGGCTGACTGCAAGACGTTACCATGTGCCTCCTCTTGCATATGATTCCTTTTTTGTGTCTCCAGATGCCCCTTACCTTGGCCCTAGTTAGCTCCTTCCCTCCGAATTGTTGGGGCGGTGATGGCCACTCGTTCCTTTTCTGTCGCATTTTCTGTGTCCTTCTTATTGTAAAACATTGGGAGGCCATTTTTGCACGTCTCTGAATTTCGCTGGTGCTGCCACGACGCAGAACGAAGAGCAGCTGTATATATGTCGAGGGCTGCTGATAAATGTCTGGAGAAGAGAGTGTGTTCCATGCTTGTCGTACGGTGTTGGAGAGCTGAAGTGCACAACGATGTCATTGTTGTTGGAACCCATATCGACCCACTTAAACGACCCGCAGAAATGCGGCCTTTACCCGTTCAGTTGCTCTTTTACATCCTCGAGCTCGATCTCCCCATCTTTCACTCCGATCGGTCTCCACACGGCCAGGGAGATTTCGCCGTCCTGAAGCTGTTGCTACATCTTCCACATCCAGGGGCCAGTTACAATACAATTGATGCGAGGACCGTCCCTGGTAAGTATGCTGTCCTATCCTGCACCATGCGGAATGAACGCCTGTGAGATGTCAGGAACAGAAAGGACTGCTCAATGTACGACGTATCAGCGTTCGTATTTAGGTGACATCCTAGGCAATACAACGTTTTCATTGTTAAACGCACATCAGCTGGGCGCTACCATCGGCTTGTTGATGGCATGAGTGAGCATTGTCAATTTGTCCGACTTTGGCTCCCGCGGCGCATTGAACAACATCCACTGCCATGCCATTTTGACCAAGGAGGACATTGTTGTCTGCACGTGGAATAAAAGGGAGGAACATCAGCCATGCGGTACATTGCTCACGCAGAGAGACACGAACTAGAAGCGAGTTGGAGGTGAAGGCGGTGGCGCACGAAAGGTCCGATGCATATGCGGTGTGGATGTACATGCAATGGACTTGCTGTGCATCTCGGTGAACAGGGCTACAGAAAGGACAAAAGAAGCAAAAGGGCCACGAGCAGCTTCGATGCGTACGGAGTTTAGAAGTCGTCCATGACGCATGGGTATGCAAATACTGGAAGATCTTTGCTGTGATATGCGACACTTTACGAAGTGGAAAGATAATCGTTCTGCGGCCCGCCATATGAAGTAAGAACGAAGTGCCATCTCTGCGTAAGGGACTAATGTACGTTGTAGAGGATGCCCATTGCCGGGAAAACAGCCCACAATGAAATTGTGTTAATACAATTGAAAACCGACTGCAGCAACATTTAAATCCCGTTTCACTACCACAGATATTGGAACCACTGAAACATGCATAAACAAGCAAGAACATTTTCAGTACGCCTTTTGGCCGCCTGGGCATATCCCGCGCGAATATAGGGGCGGAGGAGAGAGGCAGCTGAGGTGTAAAAAAACTTTACTGTGTGTGAACTTGAAGTAACCCCCGATGAAAGCTTCAGAATGCATATGAAACTAAGCAGGATACTGTTACGACCACATGCTTCTTTACTGCGTTCTCTCATTTTTCTTGCTTTCCGTTTACAATGTACAAAAATGCCGAGGTCCTCTCGTCTGGCCACACGCTCGAGAGCCTCGACCATACCTCTCCCTCTTTTTGTTGAGCATGGCACCATAGTTGCAGGGACATGTTCCAGCAACGGTCTTTTGGTTTGGTTGTGTCTATGGGCTCCCATTGGCCAGTTGTGACGAGCCACCAGAAAAAGAAAGTATAGGCATCCTATGGCTGCATATTCCAAACCAACGATTGTTTCCACTGAAATTGCGTACAGGGTTCGAAATACGTCGTACGTCACACAAATACATTTTGTGCTTTCTTTTCTTATCTGTCTGTGCCATGACCAGTGGTTTGCCTTTCTCCGGAAGCAAATGTACGTAAATGCAGGGATCATAGTACGGGGACAGCTGAGGCTGAAAAGTAGAAGAATGCGGTGGGAATTGATTATATCTCGTTTCTCTGATTTGCACAGAGTATGCTTGACCCTGCGTATGTTACACCGTAGGAATGGAACAAAAGTAAAGCCCAAAAAAGTAAAGCAAGGGATGCGGGCTTTACTTTGGTGTCCGCTCGTTCCGCGCTCTATTTTAGCTCAGTCATGGGCCAGAAATATGCTGTGCGTTAATGTGGGCCCTAGCCAGCCTCCCAGCCTTCTCGTGAAGCAAAATGTCTTACCGTCTTCGTAGAGCATGAGAACAAAAAAAATATCAGCAACCTCCTACCAGAGTACGGCATACGATTTACTTGCAAGTACCATGTAGTATTTTAGGAACGGCCGGGGGAGCATCGACGATCTTACCAGAATAAGCAGAAACCCGTCACATTTCAAGAAATACATGTACGACACAGAGTCCATCACATCAGAGCTCCAAAAATGGCGGGTGATATTACCCTCCCCATCCACGCACCTGGGACTTATATTGTCGAGAAATGCCATCCGAAAGTGGTCACGGACAAGGATGTGGCCACCTCCCAGGCGTCCATTGGATTTCATGAACAAGGAATAAAATGATGGCACATAAAGCGCCCCTTTCTCTTCCTACACAGCCGCCGCCAAGATATCTGATGAGAACAACACCTGAACGACAGCGTGGAAATTACATTCGTACATTTTTTCATTTCATTTTCCACACAACTTTGTACGGATTCTCGGGCGTCTTCTTCTGGCCATGTTCCGCCGTGCACACTGCCGCAATTGAGACAAGAAAGCCCTTGCTCAGTGTCGTGTTGACTTTATTGGTTTTCAATATTTTGCATTTTAAATGCTATTTTATGTGTATTTCTGTATTTATTCTCCGGCTTATGTTCCTTGGTCAGCATGCCAGTGACGAATGCCCCGTCGTTTTTCCAGCATATTAGGAGACGAATGTTTGTGGAAATGGGACCCAAGATGAAGCTATTGGCGGGGCCGCATTTAGGGGCGTACAAAACAAAGTTATGGGGTCCACTTTTGGCCTGGCCTTCCCGCTGGGTCAGGTCTCGGACGGGAAAAGGACGGCTCCGCTCAGCAGAGCTTCTTTGTGTTAGTGGCACGCTTATGGCTGAAGAAAAGGCGACGAAGAGAGGAAATGAGCTGATTAGACAAATAATAAAAATATATAACGAGAGAGAGAGAGAGAAGATTGACAACGTGGAATTATCGTGAGAAAAGGCCACTGCACATGGCATTATGAAATGTCGCAAAACATGCGCCGCTGAATTGTTGGAGCTGCGAATAATAAAAATTTACGATTTGGTGGCGGTGGTGGTAGTGGTATCACGAGTTTCTCGAGCCTTCTCCGAGACAGTGGCAGGCGGCAAAAGGTTGTTGGGCTGGACGCACATCTTCAAATGCAATAACCAGCCAATAGGTGATGCATCTCCGTCATCTCACCGGTGTGATTAAAAAAAATGAAGGAAAAAACAAGACAAAATGCTGATACATACCAAAGTGGGCGATTGCTGTGCTTGTATGGCGACCGAAACAACAAGGTGCAGAATAGATGGCTTGGAGCCTGTGGCTTCTGAGTGCTAGGTGAGCGAGATGACCATCCGCATGAGATGAGGATACTCGCCATGGAGTTTGCATGGATGTCTGCCCTTCCTTCAGCGAGGTTGCATTACTAGTTGCAACTTGGCGCTTGGGATGCAATGCATCTTTCTGAATGCATATGGACACCTCAGCGGATGTGATCCGCAACGAGGGTGTATGGGCTGCAGGCTGCAAATGACCAAGAGAGCACGGACAAAGTACCATTCGCGGACAGGCAATGTAGCGTTTTCTTCTCTGTCAAGTGCAAAGTCGATGCGTCCGGTATCGTCTCTCAGGAAAGTGGACGTGTACGGCTCGGTACGCTTGGAGTGGGAGCATGTCTCTACTCGGATGTATCCTGCGGGAGGTGCAGGCTGGAATCTCCTCGCTGCACGCTGCATGCAACCCCAGCTGGCACACGTACTTTGTACAGAGTCCTCTGTATGTGATGAGCACCCTTGCAGGACCGGTCAACAAAACACGTCGAGTCTCTGTTTTGGTTGATGGCCTAGGTGATGGTCTTGCTTTATTTTGCCTGCTTCGTCCTTCCCTCCTCACCACGCGTTTTTTCGCTGACCGGTTCGACCGGTCAGGACAGTGACCGGTGAGTTTCATCTGCACCAAAAAAAACAGACGAAACGCAAATACTGCACAAATGAGGGACGGAAGAAAATATGTTTCAAAACGTGGACAGCGATCACTGCTTGTACTGTAAAAGAACACCTTTGGAAGGC